CGGGTGGTGGCATTACCTTGCTGGCCGACGACGACGGCGGCGGCTTCTTACGGGCCGAATTTTGTTGCTTGGCCAGACGTTGGCGCTCCCAGTCGGCGGCCATCAGCTCCAGAATGTTTTGGCCGTGCACCAGAAAGGCGGTGTTCTCCCGCTCCTCGTAGGCGTGCACCAGTTCGGTGATCTGCTGCTCAATCTTGGGCAACCTGGACGTGATGGCCTTGCGCTCACGCTCCTCCTTGAGCAGCTGGCCACCGCGATTGTTGAAGCGATTGGGCTCGCTGGCCTTGGCCTCCAGGGCCTCCATGCGTGCCCACAGCTCGGCGCGACTCTTGTACAGTTCGAATATGTCCTTGTTCTTGTTGTAGAATGTCTTCAGATCGTCCAGCTCCAGTTCGTGCAGCTCCATTAGGTCCTCGTTGTACCAGTCGTTGTAGTAGTTGGAGAAACGCTTGCGCTCCTGCGGGCTCTTCAGCGTGAGATCCCACCACTCCTTGATCTCGAGGCGCAGCTGCTCGATGAAGGTCTTCAGGTTCTGTCGTCGCAGCGCCTGGCAGCGCTGCAGTTCTTCGCGCAGCACATCGTAGGTGCGCTGGTTGTAGGACGTTGATTCGCGCACGCGCCGCATGGCGTACTCGTCCGTCTCCTGGAGCCGCTCCCACAGTACGGAGATCTTGCTGCGCATATCGTCGATGCGCTCGCGCAGCTCCTTCACCTGGTCGGCGAAAGACTTTTGCATGTGGCGCAACCGCTCGAAGGCCTCCGGCGTGAGGCAGTGCTCCACCTGGTTGAGCAGACGCTCCTCGGCGTCGGTCTGGGGCAGGCAGCCCAGCAGTTTCATGTCGTGCTTGATGCTCTGGCGCAGCTGGTCCATCTCCTTGAGGCGCAGCGCTCGCTGATCGCGCAGCTGCTCGAGGCGATCCCGAAAGGCGTCCATTTGCTCCGGCAGGGGCAGTGGATCAGCGAGCAGGGGTTGCGGCAGTTCGCCCAGCTCCTCGCAGAGCTGCTCCTGCTGCAGCAGGAGCTCGCATATTTCCGCCTGGCGCCGGGCCAGCTCCTCGCGCAGATGCTCGATGCTCTTGTCCAGCTTCAGCTGCCAGACGACCAGCGGCATGTCGTCTGGTCGGGGGCCTATGTCTACGGGCTCGTGCAGAAGGCGCGTCAGGTCGGAGGCCTCCGTCCGCAGGGCTGCTATTTCTGCCAGGATTCCCTGCTGCTTCTCACGGGATTCGTTTAGAAGGTCCGTGAAGAAACTGTGTGTATGGTCCTTGAGCTTGTGAAGGAAGTCATCGCAGGTCTTGGGCTCGAACAGCATCGACCACATCGCGTGCAGCTCCTCCACATGCTCGCCCGTCATCTCCACGATCTGGGCCTTCATCGTGACGGCATTTGGAGTGTTCATGATCTCGTACCGAATGAATGACAATGACGCCAGAAATTTCGGTAAATTCAAACTGAAATGGCGGCCGAAAATGTTGCCACACTGTTTTCAGTCAGTGCTGCCATATGTTATTAGTTTAAAATACTTAAACCAGGGCTGAAGCGTAAAATGCTTCCACACTGCTATAGAGACGTCTATAGCCAATATTATATAAAAATCTTTGAAAATCAGCACAATTTCTTTTGCTGAGGGTTTTATAAAATTCGTCATAATAGATTTTACACATTTTATATGTAAAATGTATGTACATTTTTTTAAATCTTTATCACAACTTTAGAAAATGTATGATATTTATTGATTGAATGTAAAACTGTTTTCTGTTTCACCGAAAGTATATCACTTTTAATATATAAAATAACAAAATTCGCTAGTGCTAAATATTCACTCTTTCAAGCGTGATAGAAGTTTATACAACTTATCGCAGCTGGATGTATTATAAGCATATCATTACAACAAAACCTTCTATTAACGCATATTCCAGAAACACGTGTCACATCGAAATAATTATATTTGATGGAACAAAAATCGATTTTTTTAAACCCAAGAGAAGGTGCTCTTCAGCCTTGTCCAAAGTATTGTTGAAGCATTTTAAGCGTCAGCCCTGGTTTTGGAATTTTAAACTGAAACCACATGGCAGCCCTGGCTTGAAACAGTCTGGCAGCATAGTTGGCCGCCATTTCAGTTTGAATTTATCGAAATTACCGGCGTCATTGTTTATTATGAACACTTCAAATGCCGCCACACTAAAGGCCCAAATCGTGGAGATGACGGGCGAGCATGTGGAGGAGCTGCACGCGATGTGGTCGAGGATGTTCGAGCCGAAGACCTGCGACGAGTTCCTTCACAAGCTCCATGGCCATACACACAGTTTCTTCACGGACCTTATAAACGAATCCCGCGAGAAGCAGCAGGGAATCCTGGCGGAAATAGCAACTCTGGAGGCGGAGGCCTCCGACCTGACTCGCCTTCTGCACGATCCAGTGGACATAGGCCCCCGACCAGACGACATGCCGCTGGTCGTCTGGCAGCTGAAGCTGGACAAGAGCATCGAGCAACTGCGCGAGGAGCGGGCCCGGCGCCAGGCCGAGATACGCGAGCTCCTGTTGCAGCAAGAACAGCTCTGCGAGGAGCTGGGTGAAATGCCACGGTCCCTGCTCGCTGATCCACTGCCACTGCCCACAGAGATGGACTCCTTTCGCGATCATGTGCAACAGCTCGGCCATCGGCGAGAAAAGCGACTGGAGGAGATGCACCAGCTGCGCCAGAGCATCAGGCACAACATGAAGCTACTCGACATCCATGTCATGTCGGACACCGAAAGTCGGCTGCTCAGCCGAGGAAACCAATGCGTTAGCCCCGCCTCCTTCGAGCGGCTGCGCCTCCTGCATACGGAGTACGCCGACCAGGTGAAGGAGATGCACGTGCAGATCGACGTGATGCGCGGCAAGATAGATCTGCTCTGGCAGCGACTCAAGATCACGGACGAATTCGCCATGCGTCCGGTGCGTGAAGCCACGTCCTATAATCAGCGCACCTACGATGTCCTGCGCGAGGAGCTGCATCGCTGCCAGCAAATGCGACGCAAGAACATCAAGACCTTCATCGAGCAGCTGCGCCTCGAGATCAAGGAGCTGTGGGCTCTCACGCTGAAGAGTCCGCAGGAGTGCCAGAGCTTTGTCTTCTACAGCTGCGATAACCAGAGCGAAGATGTTCTGGAAGCCTTCGAAATGGAGTTGGACGAACTGAAGAGCTACTACAACAGCAATAGGAAGATCTTCGATCTATATGCCAATCGTGTGGAGCTCTGGTCACGCATGGCGGCCCTGGAGGCCAAAAGTAACGATCCCAATCGATTCAACAATCGCGGTGGCCAGTTGCTCAAGGAGGAGCGTGAGCGCAAGGCTATGTCATGTCAGCTTCCCAAGATCGATCAGCAGATCACCGAGCTGGTGAATGCCTACACGAGTCACACGGGCAGGCCATTCCTGGTGAACGGCGTGGACATATTGGAGAGCATGTCGGCGGACTGGGAGGTCCATCGCCAGTCCAAGAAGCAGCCCTCCGCCCAAAAGAAGGATTCCCACATGACGGCCAGCATAATGAAGCGGCCAATGGCTCCTCTTACGCCAAATACGTTTTCGCTGAAAGGCAACTGCAACAGCAACGTCAAAGGATCGCACGGATCTTCATCCTCATTGAAAAAGACCCCGTCAAAGATGAACTCGAGTGCTGTTGCTGCTGCCGCCAAGAGCACGGGGAATCTGCAGAAGAGGCGACATTCCAACAATGAGAAGTCGGCGGCTGCGGCCAAGCGAAATCTAATCACATCGCTGGATTGCCAGCCAGCCACTCTGGCAGTCCCGGATGGCCAGAAGCCGCTAAAGTCGCCGCAGAAGAAGGTGCGAGTGCTGGAATACTCGGTGCGCCGGAACAGGGCAAACGGAAAGAAACGTCCCATTCCCCGGGTCCATGTGCAGCCTCCGACCAGCGAGGAGAACGAAAGCGACCTGGAGCCGTACTAACATACTAGCACACAAAGCAATAAATGTATTACTGTAAACTAAATTGGGCAATTCTAGTAATTACACCATAGAAAAATTATTTAAAACCATCGCAAAATAATAACGATAAAATCTTTTGGTACTATTAACAGTTTTAACAGTTTTAATTTTCCTGGAAAAATAAAAATAATTTTAAAGGTTTTTTAAACCTTGTTTCGTAAATTAGTAAGTAGGCATTCTTTTTAAACACTACATTGCCCCATTACAATTATTTTGACCGCAGCTGTGCGTATTGCAAGCTTGATGATTATAGTACTATGTAAGTAAAAAAAAAAATACAAGATATAGGCAAAATTCTTCGACAGCAATAAAATGTATCAATTTACTAAATGATATAGTCCTCCGATCGGTAATGTTTTTAACAAGAAAGTTTTAGAAATAATTTTTATACACTGCGCGAAACATCGGCATAAAACCCTTTGGTACAACAGATTATGGCAGCTATAATATATGATATATGTAACCGAATTTTATCAAAACTTAAGGGATAGGTTTTTTTTCATAACAACATAATTTCGCCCAAAAATCACGAATTTAAAAAGAGATAAAAAAGGCGAACAATTTTTACTCTTTTGAAATTTGAAATCGCTTCAAGTTCAAGACTTATATATTTATTACTCTAGTCACGTAAAATAAATTAGAAATAAGTTATTCTTATTAACAATACTTAAAATTAAATGTTAAAGCTCAATATAAATTCATATTGTTAATTTTCTTATTTCTTTTAATTTAATTTTTTTTCTTTTTTTTTTTATTTCTATGAATGAATTTTAGTACCTGAAAGTTAGTTAGTTTATATGTTTTTACTCAACTATTCTTGGCTGCTGAGCACTTGGCGGAATACCTGTGGCGTCCGGGTTTGGTGAACAGCGATTGTTGCAATCGGGGGGAGATGACTGGATGAAACCTGAGTAACTGCATCATTCGACTTGCGGTCGTAGCGGTTGGGCTTGGTTGGGCTATAAAACCGGGTCGCATACCGGGCGGTGTCGTAGTATGCAATGGAACAGCCCAGCGAGAAGCAGCAGGATGAGGAAGAGGAGAAGGAGCAGAAGCAGGAGCAGGAAGATCACCAAAGGGAGGAACCTCTGGAAGAGCAAACAGAACAAAAGAAGGTGCTAGAGGAATATATAGAAAAAAAACTAGAAGAAAATCAGAAGTCACTTGAACGCGAAGAGGATAAGGAGCCACCGACAAAGGATATCTCAAAAATACTAAAGCAAAAGGGGAAATCGGAAGAGATAAAAGATATTCCAGATAATCCAAGATATCAAGATTCAGAGGAAGATCAGACACTAGAAGATTTGGAGGAAGAGGAACGTCGACTGGGAAGTACTGAAGCGGAGTTCATTGAAATATATCAGGGTTTGAAAACTAAACTGGTTGAAGAAAAAGATACCTTAGAGGAGAACGTTGTACATAAAGATGAAATAGAAGAGTTCGATGAGGATCCTCTAGAATCAAAGGAAAAGCTCGAAGATCAGGTATTAGAAAAAGAAGATAATTCTAAGGAAAAAAATACCCATGCTAAGGTGACACATCTAGAAGATCAGACAAACACAGATGTTCTGGAAAGAGAAGAGGCTTTAAAAGTGATAGAAAAGAAGAAGCTGACAGAGAAACTTGAAGATTTGGCTGAGAAAGCTGCAGACGAAGATTCGGCAGGAGAATTCTCTCAAGACTCACTACCGGAACCAAATGGTGATAACACCCAAAACGAGCAGAACGCGGAGACCCTAAAGAAAACACCTGAAGAACAGGAAAAAAGTGCTTCCGCCCCAGAAGAAGACCTTCCCAACGAGCAGGTTACCCAGTTCCTCCGGCACCTGGTCACCCAACTTTGGCCCGAACTGGGAGCCAATCCTGAGCTCCGTTTGAACCGAGCCAGTGCCAAGGGTGACAACTACTTGGGCGTGGTGTGGCGCCTCCTGGTGGGCTCTGAATCGAAATCGAAACCTGGTAGCCTGGTGGTGAAGCTTCCGCCACAGAATCGGGTACGTCGCAAGCAATTCTTCGCACGTCCATGCTTCCTGAGGGAAACGGCCGCCTACGAGGTCTTCCTGCCGCTGGCTGACATGATCCAGGAGAGGTGCGAGATCCCCATGGAGGAACGCTTCCGGCAGCATGCCCGCTGTTTTGGGTGCCGTCAGGATGAGCCCAACGAGTGCATCGTGCTGGAGGATCTGACCTGCGACGGGTTCTCTCTTCACAGCCGCTTTTCGGACCTGCCCGTTGAGCATGTGCGTCAGGTGATCCGATCCTATGCCAAACTACATGCCATATCGCTGGCTGGGAAGCGTCAGTTTGGCGAAAGGATGCAACCACTTCGGCAGCTGGTGGACATCTTTGAGCAGCGACGTGAGGACCATGCCCTGGGTGTCTACTTTGAGAACCTGAAGGGTAGTGCCCTTTCGTCGCTGCTTTCGCCTGGGGACGATCCCTATCGCGCTCGTCTGGAGGACTACTTCGCCAGGGGAACGTACTTTGAGCTGCTGCTACCCCTGGTCAGCGGATCCAATTGCGAACCCTTCGCTGTCATCTGCCATGGCGATTGCTGGAACAACAACATCCTTTACAAGCGTTCCGAGCGCGGCGAGCTGGAGGATGTGCGCCTGATCGACTGGCAACTGATGCGATATGCTTCTCCGGTCACCGACTTGGCCTATTTCCTTTTCACCTGCACCTCGCGGGGATTCAGGCAGCAATACCTCAAAAGTGTGCTAGAGGACTACTACGAGGAGTTGGGGCAGCAACTAAACAGGTAAGAGGTGCTTGTCTCCAGTGGTCATACCACTTGTAAGCCATCCTTTCCATAGATTGAACGAGCAAGTGGAGCAACTTCTGCCACGACCAGCCTTCGATGAGCAGGTGGAAGCCAGATTTTCTGTGGGCCTGCTGCTCGCCATGATGGTCCTGCCCATCGTGACGATGCAGGGCCAGGATGTGCCCGACCTCCAGGCGATCAGCGAGCGAATCGAGGCCGGAGCCACCACGGATCTCCAGGGCGCCGGATTCCTGGGCGCGGGAAATGAGGCGAATTTCAAAAGGCGCATGCGAGAGGTGATCCTCGACTGCGTGGACTTTAACTTTATCTAGGGAAAGATGTTAAATAGAAGCTCAGCTTATGTTTCAGCCAAGGACCTATAATAAGCATAACTATACTTATACTTGCTAAAGATGAAGTCATAATAAAAAAAATTAAACCCGATAGTAATTGTATAAAAATTACTTTTCAAAATACTGTATTTAATGATTTTATAAGTAAGAATTCAAATCAATTCAATAAAATAACCATAAATTATCAGCCGTTTGTACTGGAAGAAAATTTATTTGATATAAACGTTTTTTGTTATTTTTAAAATAAGCTGCGACTTTAAACTTTGAACTTGTAATATTTATTCCAATTAATTGGCATTCAAACCTGGATATTTCTATTTTGTGCCTATTTTTGAAAAAATGTATTATAGAATCCCTTATCGAAGAGCCTTATTTATTAAAATCAGCCAATAAGTGATCACGATTTTCAATTATGCATTGTTTTCTATTTGATGAAATTGTAACCCAAAAAACCGTTAAGTGACAGTGCGCAAAAAGGCAGTATTCATTTTGGTGTGGCCATTTTCACTTGTTAGAGATGGGAAAAAATCGATAGTGCCATGCCAAACAACGATGTTCATCGATGTTCGTTACGGTGTTTCTCCACCTCTAATACTGATTGCATCCCTCTAAAAAAAATTGACAGCAAAACTGCGTGTGAAAAAACACAACGTTTCCTCGTACCTTTCGGGCGTTATTACTCGAGTGGAAAAGCGCGCGTTACCGAACTGAGTGTGACCCTAAAGTCGGCAAAATGTTATAAAAATCACCGTTCTATTTCCACTGCTCTAAATAACACACACAGAGGCACGCACACACGCGCGCCGCCGAGTGTCAACAGCTGCCCTGGCAAAAAAATGTCGGACATTAAGTAAGTGGGTGGAGAGAAAAAGTGGGTTGCTAAGGCTACAAGGACCTTGCTGCGATCGGTTGCAACGGGTGGGGGCTAGTGTGGACGTGGGGGCCAAAGAACCCCCGACAAAAAAAAAAAAACAGTGGCGGGGGAGGTATGCATCTGCATGTGTATAACATTTTCGGGTTGTGTTTGTGTGGGTGTGCGTGTGAGTGAATGCCCCCGGCTGTGTGTGTGTGTGTGTGGTTGCGAATGGGCGCCAGTATGGGTGATTTTTTCAATGGAACCCCGAAGGAGAAAAGTCTCACCTTGGATCTCTTCCACTTTCCTCACATTCCCCACCATTCTCCACTCTTCCGCAGCGATGACCTGCTCAACTACGAGCTGGGCGACGACATCGATGACCAGGCCTTGCTCGGCGCCGACGAGGATGAGTTGCTACTCTCGGACGAAGGTGAGCCCTCCCCAAATCGATAGATCCCCATCCCCTTTTGATCACCAGTGTTTTTGGTCCCATTGACAGAGCTCGAAAAGGATGTCACCAGCGAGGTGAAGCAGCAAATGCGTGCCGAGGCCGAGGAGTGGGCCCAGGAGCAGATTCGCCAGCACGAGCGCAAGCACAAGGAACAGTTGCAGGCCCAAGGATCAGCAGCGGCAACTGCAGCGTCAGCTCCAGCTCCAGCTATGCCAGCCCCAGCTGAGGTGGTGCCTCCTTCAAAGGTTTACCCAGCAGAGTCCACTCCGGCCCCGGCCCCAGCTCCTGTCCCAGCGGCGGCTGCTGCTGCTGCTCCTCTTCCTGCTGCTGCTGCTGCTGCTGCAAACACTGCAGTCATTCAGTCCACGGTACAGAAACCTATTGAAGCACCTGCTGCCGCAGCGGAGCAGCCAGCAGTGGACGAGATAATGGCAACAGTCACCCATGACACCTCGAACTCGGATCTGCCGGTCCAGCAGCCAAAAGAGGAGGCGTCGCCGCCCGCTGACAGTGCCGACAAAGAAGCCGCTTCCCAGAACAATGGCAACGAAGGAGGCGAGGAGGCAGCCGAGAACTCGGGCAACCAGAGCGAGGGCGAGCAGGGATTGGGCTTGTGCTCACTGCTGGCCTCCTCACAGGAGAGCCTGCCCAGTGCCAGCTCCGCCTCTGTGATCTCAGAGCTGCCCGATCCACGCGAGGACGAGGAAGAGCGCGAGGAGCGCACCAATTACAAGACGGCCAGCGAACGGGCCGAAAATAATATGAGGCAGCAACAGGAACACGCACACATGTCGCCCTACCAGCACCAGCAGAGGCGACACCATGGAGGCCATGGAGGTGCGTTCGGCACGAGCCAATCATTTTTCAATCACTTTTAAACCTATATATATATATCTGTAACATGTATCTATATTGCAGACAAACCTCGCGTGGGCGGAGGTGGACGCTTTATGCATGGTCAGCAACAGCAGCAGAATCAAATGGGCAAGCCGCCGCGCGGGATTGGAACACGCCACCATCTGCTACGCAATCCCTCGCCAATGTTTGGCGTCCAGCAGCAGCAGCAGCGCATGGGCATGGCCGGAATGCAGCCGCCGCCCCAGCGATACGGCATGCCGGGTAATGCTCCACCACCACCAACGCAGCACCTGGCTCTGATGAGCACGCCAGTGGGTGCTGCGCCCACCGCCGCCTGTCTCCTCCCACTAACCGTTCCCGTATCCCCGCTCACCCTATCAATACCACAAGCCCATCCAAGCCATCCAAACCATCCAAGCCATCCAAACCATCCAAGCCATCCCAGCCATCCGAGCCATCCAAATCATCAAGCCCATCAACAACAACAGCAACAGCAAACACTGAACAATCCGACATTCATTCCAATTCCAGGCCAGTATCCGCCAACTCAGCCACCCAACCAGTCACCACAACAAGCACCGCCCAACACACAACAGCCACACAGCGCTCCCGCCTCTCCCCTCCACACTCCCACGCATTCGCACATGATGCACCACAGTCACAACCCGAACGGAGGCGTGCCGCCGCACCTGCTGCCGCATCCGCACGAGCAGGTGCGTGTGGGTCTGCTGCAGCCACCGCCGCTGGCGTATGCCCCCAATCCAGGCAGCTATCGGAACGGAGCGCTTCTGGGTCCGGGACCAGGACCAGGACCAGGGCCACATCAGCCACACCAGTCGCCGCACCAGCAGCAGTCGGGCATGCGCCCACCGCTCTACCGCAACGCCCCGCCCTCGTACGGTTACGATCAGGGTCAGGGCCATCCGGCCCAGCATCCGCCGCAGTTCATGCGGCCGCACAATGGCTGGCGACCGCAGGGCGACAATACGCGCATGCAGCGGCCACCATTGCAGACACTGCCGCTGCACATGATGCCCGGCGCCCCGCCAAACTACGTCAATGGCATGGGCATGCGTGGTCCGCCACCCCAACAGTCACAGCAGCAGCAGCAGCAGCAGCAACAGCAACAACAGGCAGCGCCGCAGCAAGCGGGACATCCTTCACAGCAGCTTGGCAATTCCGGTCAGCAGCAACAGCCGCCGCAGCCGCCGCAGCCGAATGGACCGCAACAGCAACAGCAACAGCAGCAGCAGCAGGGTGCGTCATCGGTGCCGCGGGTCAGCAAGGTGCTCATCAATCCGAATTTCAAGGGCGGAGTCGAGGCGGCCACCAATAAGTTCATCAAGGAGACCCACTTTATGCCGGCCATTAACAGCGAGGCCGAACTGTTGCGCCAGCAGGAGGAGTTCATCAACAAGAACCGGCAGTACTTTGAGAAGCGACGCATGGAACGTTCGCCCCCGTCGGCAGGTTCCGGAGGTTCGGCAGCCATCTCCTCTGGCCAGGCAGGCGAGCGGCGGCGTACCCGCAGCCGCAGTCGCTCGCGGGGTCGCAGCTACTCGCCGGTGAAGCGGATGGAAAGGGAACGCGATCGGGAGCGAGAGCGCGAGCGGGATCGGGAAAGGGAGCGGGATCGAGAGCGAGAACGTGAACGATATGGTGTTAATCGAGGGCCAGCAAACCGGGGATTCCGACGAGCGTCTAGCCGGGATCGGGATGAGAATCGTGGCGGAGCGGGCATTGGCAGTGGCGGTGGCAGTGGCCCAGGAGCGGGCGGAGTGGCAACCGGCGGTGCGGCGCCTCCCAAGCGACGAAGGAGCGGCTCGGCCGGAACGGGCACCGCCCGGAATCCATTTTCCGGCGAACCACGTGGCCGACCCTCGGAAACAGGCACACGCAGCATGGTAAATGATGTTCTTTATTTGATTACTTACTTGATTTGAATTTACTTACTCATTTCACTTATTTGCGATGCAGCCAAGCGACGAGGACGAGGAGACACGAAACTACCGTCTGGAGATCGAGAAGCAGAAGCAACTGCGCGAGAAGATTATGCGCGACAAGGAGCTAAAGCGTCGGCGCGCGGCCGAGGAGAAACTGCACGAGGTAAGTCCTTAAATATATAAATATATTGTTTCTTTTTAAATTTGTTCAATGCCCTTGCAAAAGGGTAGTTGTTGTACCTAAATCGAATTTCACAATCAGGCATCTTAGAATATTGGTTGTCAAGTTAAATTTACGGTCATAAATGTTTGTGTTTTGGGCAAAACTTCTCGTCTAATCTATATATGTCATGGGTCCTAAAGATCAAAACTTCCAAAGCTTATATTTTGATCGACCTGAAATTATGGCCTTATATTATATATATATATTATTTTGAAAAAGTAAATTGCCATTTTCAAAGGACTCCAATTATTGTAGGTTAAAAATAGAAAAAATTACGAATTTTTTAACTTGATCTAAAAATCTTATTAATTGTTGACATTTACGTTTGTTCAAAACTGGTGTCACTTAATTTGTAGATTAAATATTAATATTGCATATATATATATATAGGTATCTAATAAACCAAAATTTAAAAATCAGACCATTTTACGATTTTAGTGAGTCGACCTCTGCAAGATTTTTAAATCAAAAATCCCAAGTTTATGACAGCTGTCATAGAAAGGAAAATGTTTTTTGTTTTTAATGTTTTATATAATATTTACATACAATTAAAAAAAAAATATGACTGGAGATTTTTTTAACCCTTTTTAATTGTAATGCAAGGGCATTTCATACTTCGGGCACCGAAGCCAGCCTTAATATAATTAAGCTAGTAAACGATTCGAAAAACCAAGAGAAAACCACAAAACAACTAAAATTTTTAGGAAAAGCGCGCCGAGCAGCACAATTCGCCAGCTCGCGACGACCAGGAGGCGGCTGCCGGACAAGGATCTGCAGTGTCGGCCGGAGGCGCTGCGCAAAAGCAGCGTCCTAGCCAGCCAGCGCAAGGCGAGCGCAAGGTGATCTCGTTGAAGCGACGCGATGACCAGGATGTGGGCAACCTGCGCAACAGGCAAACGCCGTCGCACTCCCAATCGTCGCAGTCCAATGCTCAGTCAAACCAAGGCCAACAGCAGCACCAGCAGCAGCAGCAGCATCCGGCGCGTAAGCAACTAACGGCGGCAAAAATAGCGCCAGAGGCCAAGCGCAGCATAACCGAGCACCTGGCTCCCTCCGCCAAGCAGCAGCAGCAGCATCATCATCAGCAGGCGATTACGGCGATGCCGGGCAGAAATATGGGGGGAAACGGAGGCGGTGGAGCAGGAGCGGTGACTGCTGGTGGCACTCCGCCCAAGCCACGCGATATGCTCCGCCTGGGCACGCCCAGTGACGATGAGGTGGAACTGGATTATGATGACGATGACCTGCTGCTGGACGAGGAGGATCGTCTGTTGGCCACACCATCGCCGCCGCCGTCACAAAAGGCGATGAGCAGCAAGCGGTCGGCCACGCCGGAATTGTTGGTAGTCAAGCGGAACCACAAGGTGATGCGCGGTGGCGGTGGCGGCGGCGGTGGCAGCTCGTCATCGGCGCACAGCTTTAGCTCCAGCCAGCGGCGGGTGGTACTGAAGCCCACCAGCAATGGCAGCAGCGGTGGAGATCAGCAGCAACAGCAGCAGCATCAGCAGCAGCATTCATCGCATGGCGGCAGGCAGCGGGAAAGGAGGCAGCGGGAGGAGAACGCAATGCAGCGGAAAGGTGGCGCAGGAGGTGGAGGAGGAGGAGGAGGAGGAGGAGGAGGTGGAAGCGGCAATGCGGGAACTGGAGGAGGGATATTCGATCGGCTGGAGAAGCGACAGGCGTCGTCGGGTGGAAGCAGCGCTGGAGGCGGCGGGAGCAGCCACAAGCAGCGCTCCAAGGCGCCCGCCCGCATCGTACTCAAGCATGATTGATAGTAAGAAGGATATATCTAGTTTAAGCTTAAAGTTTTTATATCGACTATCTATATATTGTGGATAAGCGATAAGTGACGTTGAGCGGGCGTAGCAAAGTAAGCAGAACTTTAGTTTTAAGTTATAAAGTTGCAACTTGTTGATCTGTAGACTTGTATACCCAACGTCTATATAAATAGCGCTTTTTATATATATATATATATATATATATATATGTGTATGAGAATGTATTTGGTGAATAGGAGTGTGTCCGGTGTCCGCATCACACTCCATCCGGTATACATATATATATATATATATATATATTTATTTAGCTGTAAGTGTATAAATCGTATCAATGACTAAAACGTGCTTCGTTTTCTTAACCGCAATTTGTATTTAAAATTTAAATTTAAGCGGGATGCTTAAAGCTTGACCTGGACAACAAAAGAAATACCACAACGATAGCAACAAACCCAGAACCCAATTGCAATTTAATGTGCATGCATATAGCCTATGTAATCAATTCAAATATATATTTACACAATTATATACACATATATTTATAAATACTTCAACTTAGTTTTAAGCAAATGAGCTGAGCGTCTTATTTTTTTTTTTTCGATGACAGTTCTTAAAGATTATGTTGAAAGTAAAGCAGATAGACATAAAAAAAAAACAAAAAACAAAAAAAAAAAACACATTTATAAGCGCAAATGCTTCTGAGGAATTTACCTTGTATTTAAATTATGAACCTAACGCAGATATTTTTTATGAACTATTTTTTAAATTGTGTCCCGTTGTTTGTACATGAAATTGATTGTCTGTCCCATTGTGTTCTTCTTTATAACTTTATAACTAATATTAACCATATACAAAACTATGTTTGCTTGTGAACTAGTTTAACTAATAAACTTGAAATACTGTAGCATATTACGTATATGTACACAAAAAGCAATACCATAATGGCCTGAGAAAACGCAGACACATAGAATGGTACCGATGAATGGGAATGCAGAATGATGATCAAACCATACAAAAGCATAGCATATAAAATTACAAAAAAAAAAAAATACCCTACACCACACACGGGCCAGTTCAAGAGTAATAATGAGCGGAATGAAATTTTTGTAGGGTGTACCGCATAGATCATTGAATATATGATAGCTTTTAAGTTACTGTACATACCACACACAATATTCGCTTAACAACATGTATGTAAACGTACCACACTCCCCTTAATGTTCACATTACGGGGAAAATGAACCCTTTGATAGATGATAAAACCTATCCGATCTAGAACAACAGCCATAAGTCCATTTAGAATATTCGTATCTGAAATAATGTGAAACGCCTAGGGTAATGAGATTGTTAAATTATTACCACTCCTACTAAAAGATACATACTTAAATCCTCGAAAGATCTGCAAGAATATATATGCAATTGTGCAACAACATATTTAGCTAACGTTGTACTATGCAATTTTTTTTCAGATAAGAATAATTATATCCAGAAGTTCTATTGTATTAATAAGCTCATTTATATGTTAATATGAGTCATTTGTGTTGTAACAAAAGTGTAAGCTTAATAGATAATGTAAAGGCAAACGCAAAGGCAAAGGCCAGGCAGAGAAATATAGCAAACCTTTATGACATGAAATGTACTAAAACCGCTCTATTATAATCTAATTGAATCGATTCGAATCCCAATGCACATGCATCAGATTTGGTCCAAGCGACCAAGTTCATACTTGAGCTTGACTTTGCATCATGGTAATTGTAACTTTTATTCACGTGACAACACAGATATATATTAATATAACTATTTATGTGGCAAAAGGTCCTGCATTGCCCCAAACCTGTATTTGTTGAGGGTCGTAACGCTAGAAAATGATAAGATTTAAATGGAAGCGCATAAAAAGTCGTATATGCATAGGTATACGTACGTATAACTCTAGTAATCGTAATGCTACACAATATGGATAATATATGGACTAATAAAAAAACAATTATACTACGTGCACACATACAAGCGTGCGGCAGCATAACTGTATAAAAACATCTAAAGTTATTCCAAGTGATTTTAGCTTTTTAAGAACTAAGTCGAAACAAACCGATCAAACAACAAACTGAACATTCGTAGTGGAATATATACAAATAGCAAAAACTAATAACAAACAAAAATGATTCCAATCAGCAAATCCGAGTCTGTGATTATTTTTATATTATTATTATTACGCATAAACTATATTACTATATAACAACTATCCAATATGATCCACTACTCCTTTAACATAATTTGTTTGCCCACAAACCCTTTTTTTAATTTCTTATTTTGTACACCTCAAAGAACACAACTTAAAATCAAATACTAGAAATAAGTGCTAGATGAAATTGGTTTGCAACCAGGCCAACACTCCATTCCCAGTCAGATTAAGAGGGATTCGTTTATGTGTGATATAAAGTACTGTAAAGTTCTCGGGGGGAATGGAATGGAGTGGGTGCACTGGGTGCACTGATCAACGCCTCAATTAATGTATAAGTCTACATATTTTTTCGGCACTAGAGACAATGCTGGGTCCACACAATACAACACCTAACATTCCTCGCATTTTCCCAGCTTAATTTTCAGTTAAATTCTAAATTCGCCAATACATTTTACCTACATATGTATGTGTATAGTTAAGAACGACTAGCAGAAATGCAAACACTATTCGATGTTAGTTATGTATACCTAGAAAGTTACTCTCTATGTGTGCACGAACCTACCCGTAAATATTTATTATAATTTTAAGCATTTTGATATGACGATATCTCTGTTTCTACACATACAAGCCTAAAGTTTTTTTGGTTTTATTAGTCCTAGATAAATTGTTTGATTTTGTTATAGTTTGTAACTTATTATTTCCCTAATGCTTTCTGTTGTTTACACCCCACATCCACATCCACAACCACACCCACACCCAGCCAAACTGACCTTATCCCATGCCTACATCCCCCATTAACCAGACTACTCACCATTTAAAATTAACCCATAAATGCCAATGGAACTTATTGCATCTGGATCCCCCTATCACCCATCTCTTTCTCGTAAGCGCTCTACCGCCGCAATCGCTCTGTCTCAACTTGCACATGCATTAGAGAAGGGCAGAGAGCTGAAACAGAGCAGAGTCGCAGATATTATCTTAATTGTAAAATCATATATAAAACCTATACCTAATTTTCTTTCAGCACTATTCTCTGTACAAATCGAAAGAAAAAAATTGACAAAAAAGAACAAAAAACAAAAGATGAGAAAACGTACAAAAAAAGTAATCAAATGAAACGAAAAGAATGAAAAAAAAAAAAGATTTAAATGAAATAGTTAGAGATTAGGCGAGGTGCCATTTCTAGAGGGAAGCTCCGCGGGCAGCTCGCCAAAGAACTTTTGCAGAAGACTAAATAAACTGATATATACACGAATACATGATATATATGGCGACCCAGTCCTGTATATATTTGTATATGTATATTTTTTACAGCATTCAAATCGAAACTGTCTTTCAATTTGGTTGGGATCTAACAGACGCAAGGGGCTACGTGCCGTTTTAGATAGATTCAACATATTTGTGCCCAAATGCCCTTGGCATTGTCTCTGGCAAACGATTTATGCCTTGCCCACGCCTTGACTGGAAATTTATGGATATGTCATGCATCTGAGCACCCCTCCTCAGCTTCTTCCATATATTCATTGTTTCGCTTTCGATCGAAGTCAATGAGAACTGGAACTCATCAGTGGAGATGTCGAATCTAGTTATTCATAAGACTCATACATATAATCAAACGAATCTGATTCATTTCGAAAGTCGATCCTTGTTTAAAATGACCCTATCATCAACCATGCTCTAGAAAGTAGGCAATAGTAAACTTAAATCTTAGGATCAAAGGACCAAAACATTAAAAATGGGTTTGAAATTAATTAAGTTTAATTTAGATTAGTTTATTCTTCAGGATTACATAAAACTAACTAAATATAACAATAAAATATTTAGGTTATCTGAAGTTATTAAAAATTTTAAAATACAAAAAATGCTAAATTTTTTTTTTTGAACTGAAATATTTTTTGAGATTTGGTTTTGCTTCTGACAAATGGCTTCTGGAATTCTTAATTTCATCCTTCACGACACCCTTAATTTTCTTCGAGATTGTCATGGTCTCTATGGTTTCTCAGATTCAGCTACTAATGCCAAGGTCGGAGCCCAGTGATCAGTCGAATGGGGGGGTGGTAGGCGTTTTGGGGGAGGGATTTGGTTTGGCTTTGGGGGTTTGCACAATGCACATGGATAATCGTGTGAAGTATTCTTGGTCTTGGCTGATGGTAATATGCAATTATGCAAAGTGCAAGTTCAACGGAAAAGGCCATGGTTTCGTTTCGTTTTGGTTTTTTTTGCTTTGTTTGTCGCGTCCATTGTCTCCCTGGCTGAGATTAGTGGCTCTGTGGCGGAGAAGCCACCCACTTCCACCCACTCCCACTCCCGGTTCCCATTCATCACAATCATAATTTTCAGCTTCATTTGCTCGGTGTACATTGCTTGCGGTTTTTCGTTTCATTTGGTTCGTTTTAGTTTTCAGCTAACAGGCCCGCTGTTCAATTATAATTAAATCTGTTTGTAAATATAATTGGTGGGCGTGCGACTGCCATGAATGATGCAAGATTGCTATTGCTGTTGAGCGTGATTTGCTATTGCAAATTAGAACAACGAGTAATGGCAACGCCCCAGGAAAATGTTAGCTGTCTAAGCTTGGAATTGGTTCTTCCCTTCGAACGCACAGCAAGAAAAGGGTAAATTTAAGTTCAAATACAATCAACATTTGCTAAATTATTGGGAAATAATTTAAATATCTCTAAATCTTATTATCTTATTATCTATTATATCTAAACTATTTATATCTTAATCAAATAGGTATACTTATATACTCTTTGTACTTTGTTTGTGTTCTTGTGTTTTTGGTTATGCTTAAAACTTATAAAGCGAATACGTTTTTTTTTAATTGTTCATATCGGTTTTAAAAATAAATAATAAACCGAATTTAAGAATAAATTTAAGTGAATTTCGTGCATTTTTTTTTTTAGAATTTTTTTTTGTTCCCAATAATAGTTACAAAAAAAGTTCTCAACGTATTCGAGCTACTATTTTATTTCTTTATAATTTATCACATTATTAGAGGTAAATGTTTTTAAATTTCTTTGTTGTTGTGCTATTTTATACTGATTCGTATGTGCGGCGGTGCCCAAGATATGGTGCTTTTGCATTGGAGGCTACCACTTACCGAGAGATTCACGGACTGCCCGTGTAATAGGCTTTTAGGCCTCGGCATTAAAGAATCATTGTCTCAGTGGGGTAAAAACTCCCAGGCCATCGCCAAATGTACACCCATGGCCAAGTCAAGTCATCGCAGTCGTTGCCTCAGAGCTTCCAGTCAGTTAACACTTTTCACATGCCCGGCGGGTCGAACAATGTGGCCCCACTCATATACCTACAACCAATATCTATACTCATATGGGGGCGGTATGACACCGACAACCGACAACCGACAACAACAGCACAGGCTTCAGTATCGACAACTATTTTGACATATTTTTTACATATCTATGGATGAGTATCGTCATACTATTGGCACATATCTGCATCTGTAACTGGATGAATGGTCTGGGCTACTTTGGTAAAATCGATTGTACTCCTCAATTGAGTAGCTTTTCAAAAAAGCATATTACTAAAACTGTGGCTTCTGTAATTTCCAGTTCAAAAACAGTCACTTTGGTTTCAAATTTTTAAAAAGTTCGAAGGGTAAATCCGAATTCATTTATAAACATTTAATTAGAACCAACAAAATTTTAATCAAGATGAAATATATATTAAAATTTTTACAGAAATGTATTGTACTTTATGTGTGTATTAAAAAAACAAAAAAATTAGTTCTAAATTATTCTTTATTTTCTATGTCGCTAATTTTTCTATCTTCTGACAAAGTAATGTTTTGGCAGTCATTCAACCCATTAAAAAGTGCCACTTTGGACCGTTAGATATTAGAAATGTGTCAACCGTGGGGATATATTGTTTACATGGAGTGCAAAGCTCTTGGCCAAAACTCTCTAAGTGGTCACCCCCCCAGCAATTGACAATTGTCACCTTTGTTGACCAAAATCGAACATTTAGATCCGTTTTGGGTTTCTCTTCAATTTTGGTTGGCCAAAATAGTGCCTGGAAAGTGAAAACCAAACTGAGATTTAGTTAACTGAACAGCGTTTTGACACTCTCGAAATGAGTCACGTACTAGCCTCAATATTTATCTAACTAAATCGTTCGTTCCACTGGACTTGAATGATCGGTGTTTTTCGTGCTTAGTGCTGTGGGGTTTGCTATTTTGTGTTTTATGTTGGCCAATTACCCGTTCCAGGGTCAAGTTAATGATTCAATTAGCATTTGTCATCATTGTTATTGTTATTGTTGCTCCTGAGCTGTGTGGTATAATTGATCCTCAGATCGTGGGAATATTTATAATGATGTGTGATCAGCCGCACACGCCCTTCTAGCCTAATATACAGATCAATAGAGCGTTAGTGACTGGAGGGGAGTACCAGTTTTTTGTTGTCTTTTTAAACAAAGCATTTTTTATGTTTTTTTTTTTTTTAAATGTTAAGTCACAGTTAGTCACTCAAATCGTTTAATTTAAAGATGAGGAGAGGTCCTTTTTATAAAAAAAGAAGAAAATATTGTAAAGAGTAAGTATGTATTTTGTGATAAGACAAGTGTTTCCACATACAAACATTAAGATCAAATAAACAAAAGGCTAAATTTGATTTCAATTGATATAGTTTTTATACTTTTATATGTATGTGTCTAATAAAAAGGAAGCTACTTTCAAAAAATTCTATATATGAAATGCTTATACGGCTATGTTTTTGATATTAATAATAATAATAAGAAATGTTATTATCTAAATAAAATCGAACTTTTTATTCATGTGAAAAATTAAATTTTAAAATCCATAATTTGTGCTTAAAAAAAAACAATATGCTG